CACATAAGTGCACATGCAGATTTACACGCTGGGTGGGAAAAGGGGATGTGTTTGCTCTCCTACGTAGCGGAGGGCATGACCCTCTTCCTCGAATCTCTCATGAATATTTTAATAACACTTACCATTGTTGTCCCCCTGCTTTACCTGTGGCTATGCCTTGTAGTTGTGCAAACGGGTTGATTGTGCAGTTTTAGCTATAGGTTAGGGAAGAATTTATATGAGGTGGCTGGGATAGGGATGATCCTGCTTCTGATGGGTTTGGACTAAGTGACCTCCAGACGTCCCTTCAAGCCTTACTTTTCTATGACTCTATGGTTCTGTCCAAGCTAGACTGTGTGCATATCACTGCCTGGCATACAGACCAATATTCCTTGGCATACAGACACTATTTTCCTGTATTTCTCTCTGTCTGCATCCTCCTATTTCCACTTGTCTTAGGCTGTAACTTCTTAGGACAGGAGGCTTCTTTTTGTTCTGCATCTTGACAAATAGCGTGCAGGTCCAGGAGCCCCTACATACCCACACAATACAAAGAACAAATGTTTCTTACATTCTACACAAATATTGCCCCCTGCATATTTATTGGTGAGGATAAACTGAGGCAGCACTACTTTGACTCCTCCCTACTGTCCTCTCAAATGCTCCTTGTGCTAGTCCAAAGGTTGCTGATATTAGGGGATCCTGGTTTGCTCTGATTAAAAAAAATCCAAAATTTTTTGATTTAACCCCCGCCACCACATTTTTCCGTGATTAAAATGAAACACCCCTATATAGATATCTATATCTATCTATCTATCTGAGGCTTTTTGTTTTAATCATGGAATATATATAGCGGCATCTTAATCACTATATTTATAATATATATATTTTAATCAGTATAGATCATGGGCGACTGGCGCTGCAACCAGTCCCCCTGACCGGGGGGTCCCCCCACGGCTGATCTTGCTTCTGGGAGCGGCTGCAGCGATCAGCTGGTGCTTGCAGGGGGAGGCGCCAGCACTCCCGCCTGCCCCCTGCCCATCGCCTAAGTGGTGAGCACAGCCGGTCAGGGGGTGCACCAGCACTCTCAGGGGTGTGCATGCACCCCCTATGTGTCGCCACTGGTATAGATAGATATAGGGACATTTCATTTTAATCATGGAAAAACATGAATTTGGGGGGGGGGAGTTAATCAGAAATTTTGGATTTTTTTTTATTTTGGATTTCTTTTTTCTCAGACAAAGCCAGGATCCTTGCTGATATTTTACACAGATCTCGGGTGCCCTCAGGCTATGGAAAGTTATTCGCACAAGGAGTGCGACCCGTGCTGTGGCTTCGGTTACTAGTGCGGGGGCAGCTTTCCTTTCGAGCCCAGATCAGGCAGCGCGGCCCTCCTTGCCACCCTGGCGGGACAAGCCTGGACCCCGATCCAGGCTCCTGTAGGCCAGCGACCCTCACTGATGTCCAGAGGGGGTGAACCCATGCCATGACCTATTCCCACCCCTGCTGTACCCTGCCCTCTCCATCCGGGGTGGCCAACCTGCAGCACGCGGGCCATGGGCAACCTGTGCGCGGCACGGGGCAGAGGGGGGAAGGCGCAGGGGCAGAGCGGAACGCGAAGGAGCAGGTGGGGCGAGGGCACGGGGCCGGGAGCAGACAGCGGAGCAGGGTGGCAGGGGCTGATCTGCGGCCCGGAAGGGAGACGAGAGGCAGGTGCTGGGGCCGGCGGCGCGGAGGGCGGGCAGGCAGGACAATCGAGGGAAGCAGGCGCGGGGCGCGGACAATAGCGGCGGGCGGGCCGCGCGGGGGGAGGTGTCGGTGACGGAGGCTCCGCCCCGCTCGGGCCGTTGTGTGGGGCGGCGGCGCCGGGGCTCGGATTGTGACGCT